GATATAATACCAGGTACATTTTTTTGTACCTACCAAATTATTCAAGAACTATATTTATCCTCTTTTGGGTACACAGTTGTAACTTACGAAGCATTGTATACTCTTATTACTCGTCTTTTGTGTGCAGCAAGCTCTTATCTTAATGATTGCAAGCACTAATTCCTGGTCATGTTTTGATTTTTGAATCCAAAGGTATTCAGTTCCCGATCCAGATCTAAGCGACTTAAAGATTAATCGTCTGAATCTTATGTTTTAAGGGATACAAGGAGACTTTTGAAAAAAGACTTTTGGAAAAAAAGGTCTAAATACTACATTCTTTCTCTTCAAGAATGATCCAAATGCATAAAACCATTCTACCTCGATTCTTACTAAAGGCCCTCCTGTGTGCAACTGGCCAGAATCGCTAAGATGTATTGCAACACTAACGACATTGTACGCGTTGATAGTTTAAGATTGTAGAAAGGTAATGTGGCCACTGTCTATTTGTTAAAAAATATTCTTTATTCTTACTTCACTCTATTCTCATTTTACTTATATTTTATTGTTTATTCTTTACATTAAGCTAATTTCTTGTGGCATTTTAAAGTATTTAATATTTTAATGGAAATAAGCGTCAATTAAAGTTTAAAATAAGTTTATTAACGTTTCAATGTATACTTCGCAAATCGTTCTCAAAATACAAACATTAATAAATTAAATTAATAAAATGTATTTTACGAACGATTTCCGAAGTGGAAATTGAAACGTCAAAAAACTTATTTTAAACTTTATTTGTGGCTTACTCCCGTTAAAATAGTAATTACTTCATTTTTTACACTTATAATAATTTTAGTTGTTCTACAAATTATTCGTTTTTAGAGGGTAAGAATGTTTGAAAAAGTATTTTTCCGCAAATCGCCAGAAATTTTGACATTCCTGTAAAACTTTCTTGAAGAAAATGTCAGGACTTCCTTACTGTAAGGAAATGTCATTTCCTTACTGTAAGGAAATGATATTTCCGTACAGTTGTTAGTGTTCTACATAAATGATAGAAAACACATTGCTTATAAGGAATTAATTTATATTTTGAAAACATCAAGTCATTGCTGAATACATTTTTAAGATCAATTTGTTATATTTACAGTAATTTGACAGTTAGTACAATTATTGAATATTGGAGGAACACTCTTAGAACTATGAGAAACATTTTGGACAATATGCAGGGTGGAAGTGTCATTTTGTTGAATATTTTGTACTGTGAAAATTTTATTTGCCACCTCAACCTTATTGTTAAGCGATTCTTCGATATATCCTTCAGCAACGTTTGATGACTTCCATCCGCCATGCCTCTTTAAACTAGTTATGTCGGCACCATAGTCAACCAATATTGTTGCAGAAGACCGACAAAAGCAGTGACCAGTATATTCTGTCGGATTTACCAAGTTCAAATAAGTAGCAATTATTTTGGGCATTTTTCTAAATTGATGAATTCCTACCACTTGTCTACAACCCTTTCCGCTTTGATATTTAAAGAAAAATCGGTCACTGTTCATATTTTCTGGTCTTAACGAAACATACTTTCGATAAACATTCAAGTAGATCTGATTAATTACAAATAATCTTGGTTTGTTGGTTTTCGAATCAGGTATGCTGATTAAAAGCTTAGATTCTAAGTCTTCTATATCGTGTACAGTCATTCGGACTAACTCATCCATTCTACAGGCCCCAGAAATACCAAATATTACAGCCACCTGAAAAATAAATAAAGCTATAATCTAAATAGAAATTAAAACCTTGTAAATTACCTTAATCATTAAATTTTCTTTATCTGAAGCTTCCTGGATAAATTTTTCAATTTCTTCCTTCGTTAAAATCTTATGATTTCTTTGCCCTATAACCTTGAGCTTGCCGTTTCAATAAAGAACGAAGTTTTGAGTATGTAGATATATCTACATTGTGTTAAGTGCAAGGGTTGACTTCAGCATTGAATAATTGGCCCATAATGTTGAAGATTTTATCTTTAAACAAAGGTCTAGAAGTATGCCATTACAACATTTTCTGAGAAAGAACTCGTATTTTTACTCATGCGTTAATCCATAAAACGTCTGTATGCATTTTCGTACTTTTCTCTTGATTTCTTTGGCAATAATTCTAATGAAGCAGTATTCACTGCCTCAACCAGCTCTGGAGGAGTCCCAGGAATGGAAATTTCATCATCACTTATCATTTTACTTTCGAGAACACCAGCAATTAAATTTATAAGCGTCAAGTTTGACAATTCAACCTCAATACGTTTCCATAGTAACCCAAGTAATTTTATTAGGAATTTCAAAGCACCATTATTTGGGAATAAAATTATCGCGTTTTTTTTTAAATCAATCAATATCTGTCGAATTTTAAACGATTTGCGGAAAAATAGTATGTTTACCTCGTAGGAAAAGCCACATTCCTGGACTCTGTGTTGCTAAGTTTCGGCTTGCGCCTCGACTTAGCAATCTCACAGTCGTCCCAGGAATGCTTTTCCTACCCGGTAAACAATATACTATTGTGCATACGTAAATAGTTATTTTTTTTATGATATTTTCACATTTTTAGTATATGACCTTATGTGAATTACTGATTTTATTGGGTGTTATTATCTTTAAATTTCTCGCATTACGATTAGCATCTCTATATATTTTATAAAAATTTCAATCTGTGAACTTTCCCACATCTTTAGAAAAAATCATTGATAGTATGTGTATGTGTACGTGTAGTAGTGAATAGTATAATTTGACCTTATCAATAAACTCGAAAGTGTTTTTGATCTTCATCACTTGGATTTTTATTACTTTTTATTAGAATGGTGGTCCTGTCAAGAGCATCAGATTCTTTTTCCACCGAATGTCGCAAAACATCAATTCTGCTAATACAACATAACGCCTTTCTTCAGTTTCTGAACCGAATTCCTATAATTCGTTTATCGATAATTGCAACAACAAAAGGTAAGTGGTATAAAGTTGTGCAGATAATTGTGTTAAGTTGTGCCAATAGTTTACAGGAATATTCCATAGCATAGTGGGTTTTTTTTGCAATATTCTTTTGTTTTCTTCTTCTTCTTAACGTGCCCTATCAAGTCCCCTTGACGTTGGCGATTAACATGGCGAAACTGTCTCTGTCTCGAGCTATTCTAAATAGTTGCTCAGCTTTCTTTATTCCTGTCCACTCCCTGATATTCTTCAACCAAGAGGCCTGCTTTCTACCAATTCCTCTGCGTCCTTCGATTTTACCCATCATAAAAGGTTGAAGAATATTATATCGGTCTCCCCTTACTACGTGTCTAAAATAGGCCATCTTTCTACATTTGATGTTATCAAGCCGCTCGCGAGCAGCATTTGCTCTCTCAAGGACTGCCACATTTGTCAGCATAGCCGTCCATGGAATTTTTAGTATACGTCTGTGCAGCCACATTTCAAAGGCCTCCAGACGATTAATGGTGGATATTTTTAATGTCCATGCTTCGACACCGTATAAGAGGACTGACCAAATGTATCATTTAACCATGCGCTTTCGAAGTTGAAGTTGCAAGTTATCATTACAGAAGAATGACCTCATTTTTAAAAATGTCGTGCGGGCTATCTCGATTCTACATTTTATCTCTTGATCTGGATCTAGTTGTTCAGTAATATGGCAACCAAGATATTTAAAAATGGACACTCTTTGAATTATATGACCATCAACATATAATCGTGCATCTTGATGTGCTAAACGGCTAAACACCATGTGTTTTGTTTTTGCACAGTTTATGTTTAGGCCAAACTCTCTTCCCACTGTATCAATGGCATTTAAAAGGCATTGTAATCTATTCATCACTTAAAATGACTGTATCGTCTGCATATCTGATTGTATCTGTATTTATCAGAATTCCATTAACTTTCACGCCCCATTCCAAATTATGCAGCGCTTCTTTAAATATTCTATCTGAATATAAATTAAATAACAGTGGGGATAGTATACAACCCTGTCTGACACCTCTTTGTAGTTTACATATTTCTGTTAATTTTCCGTTTATGCAAGCTGTCGCTATTTGACTGCCAGTATAACTTTTCTATGAGTCGTATGTCTTGACTATCAACTCCTTTATCTTTTAATATTGTAATTAATTTGTGATGCTGTACTCGATCAAAGGCCTTTTCATAGTCAATCAATACAGCAAAGACGTATTTCCTTTGATCTCGACATTTCTGCAGTAATACATTTAGTGCAAAGAGGGCGTCCCGAGTTCCCAGTCCATTTCTGAAGCCAAATTGTGTTTCATCCTGATCTTCTTCACATTATCTCTGATTCTACTGTGGATGATGCGTAGAAATATTTTCAAAGTGTGGCTTATAAGTCTTATCATTCTATAATCGCTACAGATTTTCGGACGTTGTTTTTTTGGTAGTGTTATGAATTCGGACTTTAACCAATCTTCAGGGATATCACCAGTCGAATAAACATCATTGAAAAGTTTGACCAGTATTCCAATGTTCTCCTCATTTATAAGCTTTAACATCTCTGTCGTTATGTTATCAGGGCCAATGGCTTTCTTGTTCTTTGCTAACTTTATAGCATGCAGTATTTCTGATTTTAGTATTTCTGGTCCTTCACCTTCAACTAAAGTCTCCGGTTCTTCGGGACTATCATCATTATACAGTTCACTTATATAATTACACCAGGTTGTTCGAATTTCATGTTCGTCTATTATCATTTTTTCCCGACGAATCGGTTATAGTATGTGGAGTTTTCTTATGATAAGGACCAGCTACTTCTCTAACTTTTTTAAACATATTAAACGTATCATGTTTTTCATTCAACTTTTCTAATTCCTTGCATTTATTTTTTTGTTATCCTTTTGTTTTCTGTAGAACATAATAGCATGAAGAGTAAGGGAAAGACAGAGGAAAAGAGATAAGAGATATTTGTGAATATTTATTTTAATTTTGACGTGATTGAAATCGAAAATTTATTTATTATTGTATATTAAAAAATTCATATTTTACCTCAAACAATATTAATTCATTTATATTTCCTACAATGCCGGGAAAGTACCTTATCGTAATAGGGATCTCCTTTCCGGCTTCCAAATAGCCCTTATCTGGGTATATGTTCAGCCATTTGGATTTTAACTTTTTGTCTTGAAAAATTTCCAGGCTATCACAGTCAACTTGAAAACAAAAATCGTAATGTCCAGTGTTGGTTAATATCAGAGACTCTTCCAGTATTTCACAAAATAACTAAAACAGTAGTACAGAAAAATAATTCAATAAAATAAACTGCAAAACGAAAAATTACTTTATTAGTTAATAATGTGCTAATAGATTTTTGAAGAAATTAAACTATTATGTGTTTTTTCGTAGAGCAAAACTAAAAAGAATATTGATACGTTTCAAACCTATGGGATTACTCATTTTGTGAGTAATTGCAAAAGATCGTTATGGACGATGAAAAATATTTTCATATATAAAAACTTTGTAGTTTAAACAAATTGTAAAATAATGTACAAAGAATATACAAACAGGAATATGCATATCTCGTCTACTTGCCACTGTATTATAAGTATGTCAGCCATTTCGTTTTATCAAAAACAGCTCGACTAAAGATGAAATGAGAACATATCCATTCATATATCGGTGGTTAATACACAACATTTTAGTGTTTAAGCTATCTGCGTATTCTAAATTAAATATATTACATTATTTACCCGTTTTCATTATGAATGGATTTTTTCAACATAGAGACATCCACAAATTTACATGGATACAACCTACTAGGAATCTGCGCTCGATAATCGACTATGTAATCCAACGTCAAACTTCCCAGCTGAAAACAACGACGTAAGGGTATACCGTGATCATAATGTGGATCCGACCATCGTTTACTTATGGCCAACGTGATAGTTAACTATCGCAAAAACAATAACACTCAGGTACAGAATATAGAAAAGGGACAAGAAGTAACATTCCCTAAATATAACCTAGAAAGCTTAAAAGAAGATTCAACGAAATTTCTGTGCAAATTACGACTGACCACAAAATTACAAAATGTGGATCGAGAAAATATATCAGCGGAAAAATTATACCAGCAACTTAAAAAACTCATATTCATGAGGCTGCAAGTAAAGCTTTGGGTTATAAATACAAACATGAAACGAAAAAATCAAGAATGGTGGTTGGAGAATATGCAAATGTTAGTCAACAAGAAGAAAACTGCTTATTAGAAATGAATGTCAAAGAGAAAGGAGAAAGATTACAAGATATATCAAAAATTAAATCGAGATGTAAAAAAAGAAGTAGTGAAAATGTGCATAGGTGGATAGGTATATGGGTAGGACAAGAGTTGGGCAAGCTTGGAAGGTGATAAAGTCTCTCCAGAGGGAAGGAGAGAAAAAATCTAATTTACAGTTAATAGATCCGAAACAGTGGAAACACCATTATGAGGTCTTACTGACAGAGGATAGAGGTAAATTCCAAGACATCGAAATCGAAAAAATATCCAAACACACACAAATAATTGAGATAACAACCGGAGAGTTTAAACGATGCCATCAAAAGATCAAAAAACGGTAAAGCAGCAGGACCTAGAGACATCCCAATTGAGTTGGTAAAGTGTGGACCAAAACTATTACATGAGATGTTGGTTCAACTATTTAACAAATGCTTAAAAGGACAAAATATCCCTGATGATTGGAATATTGGATACATCAGCTCAATATTCAAGAAAGGAGATAAACGCAAATGCTCTAATTATAGGGGAATTGTGGGGAGGTTGTACGGTCGAATAATAAAAGAAAAATAGAATCAGAATACGAAGACACAGAAGAACAACGTGGATTTCGTGCAGGAAGATCGTGCATTGATGGTATATTCGTTCTGCAGGAGGTATCGAAAAACGAAAGGCAAGGAATCTATCTACCCACCTATTGTTTGTAGATTTCGAGAAGGAATACGATACGGTACTTTAAAAAAAAACTGTTTCAAACATTGACGAAAGTAGGTCTCAGTAGAGTGAGTGCATGCTATCGCAAATATATACAAAAATGCAAGAAGTGTCGTTAAAGAAGGAAACTTTATATCTGAATGATTTCCAATAACAAAGGGGCTTAAACAAGGATGGTGTCTATCTCCAACCTTATTTAAAATATATATTCAATCATCGCCAAAGCAGCGGAGGAATCAAGTATCCGGAACGGGAATAGACATAGGCGGTGGAAAATGTCTAACAACTTTATTTTTCGCAGATGATCAGATAGTGGTAGCGAATGATGAGGAAGACATGGACTACGTGTTTAGAAAACTAAAGAACGATTATGAAAAATGGGCCTCAAGATTAATATCCATAAAGTAGATCCAGAGTTAGAAATTAGAAACACAATAATATGCAATGAATATAAATATCTCGGAACTATTATATCTAAAGAAGACACTACAAAAGAGTACATATACATACATAGATATATATATATATATATATATAATATATATATATATATATATATATATATATATATTGATAAAGTTGTATTTTATTAAATTTTTTTTTTTTATAATAAATGTAATTTTATAATATGTGGTTCGTTGTTTAATTTAATATACCTCGGCTAGCTCAATTATATGTTCTAAGCAATCTGTCACTGTGTGACGTCGACTCTGTAGTCTCCTGGTAGAGTTCAAAAAGAAATTAAACCAAAATTTACTTTAGACCTTTGATAAATTAACCCAAATGAAGCACGTTATTTATTAATATTGAACAAATTTAATATAAACAATAAAATTCGTCTGCAACTTCGGTTGCCTTTAAAAATTTACAAAAATAGGAATCGTTTAAGTCTTAACGTGGTTTAGTGACGTGACAATAAAAATGTATTACAAAATGTGGAGACTCTCTACAAGTACCTAAAAACTAAATAAATATTGCAACTTTATAAAGTGTTTAAATGAACTATAAAGAAAAAGAAAATGAACACTTTATTCCGCTGACTGTTCAAATATAATCAAAATTTCAAATGATCCCCAAAATTATTGTCCAACCTCACTTTAAAACAGTTCTGATTTCTTTAAAGGAAACTAACTACTCAAAAATAATCGGTGAAACTGGAATATCAATCCTCTCTTCGGAAGTTAAGGTACGTACTATTCTATTTTTAATTTAATGATCATTAATAATTTCAATTTTTAAGGCCTATCGCAATTATGTTAATTCATGAATTTTAATTTTCTCAATTTAAATGACATTTCTATACTCCAATATAATTTATAAGTGAAATTGTTTCTCTTACTCTCTGGAACAAATTTCTGGATATCTCTGTGGAACTGTGGAAAAACTAAATTCTAATTAGACGAGTTAAAAAACACTCCCGACCTATTCCACAGTTTCAGGGCTCTCCTTCGTCCAAAAAAAACCTCGTCGGCGTCCTCTCCAAAAACCAATTCCCATTATTATCCGTTGCTAACAGCAACCAACGTTCTTTTTTTTTCTGTCTTCTATTTAAATATTTTAAACCATAAAACTGTCCTGTTTGACATATTTGTCAAGCCACATTACTTTCTCATAATCACTTTAATCACATATAATTTGGGAATTTACAAAAAAAAATGTTTAGATATAAAACTTATTCTATTACAATACTAATTTATTCTTTTCATCTCCACATCATTGTAATTTCTTATTTAACAAAACCCCTATTAATTTAGCTCCCACAGACTGTCAAATAAACTGTCAAGCAGTTTATTTTCTGACGTTTATTAAAATTTCTATGTTTAAATATTTTTTTAAATTCTTCTTTTTTTGTTCTTTTTAAGGTTTAGACGATTCACCTATACACTAGGCAACTATACTATTCAGAAATTATTAACACTATACCAGGTAAGTCAAAATTAATTTATTTAACAATTTACTAATCTTTTTCTCTCTTTTATTTCAGAGTCGAACCCACATTGTGATGGCTTCATGAAATTCATAAACAACAAACTCATATAAAAATCCATTAAAGTTGTATATATTTTAACATATTGAAATCATTTCAATATATATATATTATATATATATATATATATTATATATATATATATAATATATATATATATATTAATTGAAAGGAGTTATAATAAGAAACTTAATATTTAAAGAGAACTTACTCTATTCCCGACATAAATAGATGATTTGTTGAACTTAAAACTCAAATGTGAACAAGACCACTAATTTCAAACTTTAGTTCTTCCCCTCCATTTATTTTGCAGATGCAAATGCAGTTGATAATTACATTTGGTGGTGGTGAAAAGTATATACTAATTAGTCCATGTTCATAAGGTCTCAAGCATCCTTTCCATGGTTCTATGGTAATAATGTCGCGAAGGCTACAAAAATGAAAACTCTTATTAATCTAAATAACAAAAATGGATTATGAGTTTAGTTACTTTAAAGAATCTGGCGCTACGGGCATATATTTCTTTTCTTTCCAAAACTCTATATATTCCTCATCATATTTGGCACAAAATACTTCTTGTAAAATATTTTTCGCCCTTTCTTCAACTTTATCGAGCTGAGAATAAGACGAATGTTGTAAAGAGGATTCTTGACTAGCAAAACTTTTTTTAGATTGGACTTGTACTGTTGTGTCTTCTGAAAATATCTTCATACTTTTGCTTTGAACTGGTTTAATTTGCTCCGAATCCAGTGTAGGTTTAAAAGAATTGTATATTGTTTTCCGACTACAAAAACAAGATGCTCTTATTTATTTTTATCCCTAGGTGGTCCCAGTAATAATGGAAACAATGTGATAATGTATGAGTTAAGTAAAAATAATATTTTCGAAAAAATTAATTAAAATTTGCGACCCAAAATAAAGGAGTAATGTAATATAGCTACTTAGAATTTTAGAAGATTGCAGTCAAAAACTAAGATAAAGGAGCAAATTAAAAAATGATAAGATATGAATATATGTCATATTTGAAACAAAAAAACTTTGAAAAACTAAGATAACTTGGACACTAAAATCATCACCAATTAGCATAAATGCACTGATAGATAGTACAAACTTATCACCGCAATAAAAACGGGATTTTAAAATAGACCTGTAGAGATTTGCAAACTAATAACTCGCGTACCTACACCCCGTGGCAGGTAAAGATCATAAAATGCTTGCGAACAGCTAAGATTTGCTAAGCGGAAAAAATAATCTAAATTCGGATGTATTAAATGCAAGGGTTACCTCGTGTTTGTGAATTCACAAATTCTATAAAACCTAACTTTATCTATCCAAAAATAAAAATTGCTCTTTATTTGCCATTGTTGTTTTAACATGGACAGTGAACTGATCGTTGATTACATTCTGGAACAACGCGGACGAAAGATGATGGTTATCAATAATTTTAAGTTTTAATGACGAAAGAATAGAAATTGTCTTTGGTGGACATGCGCGACCAAAGGGTGCTAGCTAAATTTCATACGACTGACAAGAAGTTTTTATAACGTTTTTAGTTGTTTTGCGCTAGTGGTCGCGGAGCACTATGGTCAAACAGCAAAATCAACTAAAGTTTTTCAAGTAAACTCTATACGATGTTCCGTGTAGGCAAGGCATATTGTTACTTTGTTGCTTTAAGTTTCCTGTCTGATATTTTTATATTGTTTATTTTATTATATTTTTAAAAGCACATTGTCGCTTATACGTATATGGGGTCTTAGTTATATTGTTTCAGATTTACGTCTTTTCACATAACCAAAATTCCAAAACATAGAATATCTCAAAGAGAAGTACATATTATTGACACTTCATGACATTTTGACCTACGATCTAATTTTTTGGTGGAGGGGACATGTTTTTTTATGGAGGAGACATGTTTTTTGGTGGAGGCGTATAGTCATCATCATCATCATCTTGGTGCTACAGCCCTTAGAGGGCCTCGACCTTCTTAAGCTTTCTACGCCATTCTGTTCCGTCCCTTGCTGGCATTTTCCAGTTGCCGACTCAGATCTTCTCCGCCTCTTGTGTTAAACCATCCATCCACCTCAGCTTTGGTCTACTCCGTCTTTTCATTACCACGGGTTGCTCTGTTAGAATCTTTGTTATCATGTTTGATTCAGGGGCCCGGGCTACATGTCCTGCCCACTGCAGGCGGTTTCGCTTAATTATAGTGGTAATATCTTTACCACCAAATGTATGCTTGTAGATATTCTGCAGTTCAAAGTTATACTTACGCCTTCATATTCCGTTCTCACAGACCGCTCCGAATATCTTCCGTAGCACCTTTCTTTCAAAAATCGATAGAGATTGATTCATCTGTTTTAGTTAGCATCCATGCCTCTGATCCATATGTGAGAACGGAGACTATTAGTGTTCTATACAGCCTTATACGAGTTTTTTGAGACAGACTTTTGTTAGCTAAGTACTTTGATAGACCATGATAACCTATTTGCAATTATTATTCGCCTTTTTATTTCCTTAAATGTGATATTATTGGGGTTAACCGATGTCCCTAGATATATTAACTCTTTGACTCCTTCGAAGTTTTGGTCATTGATGATTAAATTTGAGTCAACATTTCCAGATCTTGTGTTTGTGTTAGTCGCCATGAATTTGGTTTTATTTATATATAACCCCATTCGTTCTGCTGCTGCTACTAGCTTGGTTAGAATTTCCGCAGTTCTCGCCCTGGTTCTTGTTATAATTTCCACGTCGTCTGCATATGCTAGAATTTGGATTGATCTATTGAATATTGTTTCCCTACTATCTAGATTAACGTCTCGTACAACTTTTTCTAAGGCGACAATAAAAAGCTGACACGCCAGCGCATCTTCCTGCCTTAATTCCCTATGTATTTCAAATGGGGTTGACGAGTCGTTTTGAATTTTTACTGCTGATATCATTTTCGCCCTTGTCACTTTTATCAAACATATGAGTATTTTTAAAATTCCCAACTCATTCATAGCGTTGTAAAGACTTGGTCTTAAGACACTGTCATATGCCGCTTCAAAATCGATAAAAATATGATACATATCTATGTTATACTCTTGCGCTTTTTCGAGGATCTGTCGTAGTGTAAAGATCTGGTTAATGGTTGAACGTCTACGCCTGAATCGTACCTGATATTCTCCTAGAAACATTTCGGTATAAGGCTTTAATCTCTCGTGCAAAATGTTTTACAATATCTTGTATGCTATATTTAGGAGAGTTATTTCGCGGTAATTATTGCATTCCAGTTGATTTCCCTTATGAGTAACGGCAAATTAAGCCTAAGCTCTATTCCTCAGGCATTTGCTCCTCAGACCAAATTTTAAAAACAATTTCTCGCATCACATTGGTAAGCTGCTCTCTACCATGCTTAAATAACTCTGCTGGGATGCCATCGCTACTTGGGGATTTGTGGTTCCTTCGTTTTTCTATAGATATTTTTACTTCATCTACCGAGGGAGTTCTACGAGTTCCCTATTTTGGTATTCCAGCTCTATATTATTAGTAGGTTCCCCTTCCAGCAACTTTCGAAAGTGCTCTACACATCGTATCCTCAGAAAGTGTTAAGAGAAATTTTTAAAAATTTAATTTATTTTTTAATTACTTTATTTGCAAATTTGTAGGTTGTGTTAATACTGGGAATTACTAGAGGTTGCCGAAGAGTTATTTACAATAAAAATTGATGATATTAAAAATAAGGGACAATTTCTACTCGTCACGATTCCAGAATCAAAAACGTATAAAACTCGGCATTTGGAGAAACCAATACAAATACTAATTTAATACATTTCTATTAAAAACATGCTACTCTAACAAAGAACATAATCGGTAACCATTTATTTCTAGCTTATAGGAATGGAAAATGTTCAAAACAAGTAGTTGGTCTAAACACTTTTTCAAAAATTCTATCCTTTAAATATTTTTTTTTGAATTTACAGCATCCAGGAGCTTATACAGGTTACACATTTCGACGTACTTTGGCATGGTTTCTAGTTGATTCAATGGGAGATATTCTTCAACTAAATCAACATGAAGTATGGAAATTCACTGCGCTTCATGAATATTTTTAACCAATCTTCAACATTATTTAGCCAACTTTCAACATCGTATTATGAGAATCACACGGTGACGAATTTGACACTTCCAAATAAAACAAAAATTCGCATTAGTTAAACCAGTGTGGTCCAACCTCAGGCACGCGGGCCACATCCGGCCCGGGGCTTGCTAAACTGTGGCCCCCGCAAAACACATTTCAAAAATATTACCATTGATAATTTTTACCTGTTCCATTTCTGTCTAACTTTTTGTAATCGTAAAAAAGTAGTTAACCTTGAACACCCACTTCCGATGAGCAAGAAATTAGCTTCAGTCAGCTACACGTGTCGTATTGAATTAACAGTGGCGAATAAATAAAATTTAAATTCAGAATTATTAGTGCCAAAAAACGCAATATTTTCGAATAGAATTGTACGTTAGAAGGAAAATGAGAAAATTAATATTTTTTTATCGAAATAAAAGGCAAACCTCAGTGCACTATTTGTTATCAAGTACTCGCGGTATCAAAAGAATACAATATTAGTAGGCATTATACAACCTAGCACAAAACAAAATACGACAAATATCAAGGTGAACCTCGCAATACTCTTATAAAAGAACTTAAAGCTAAATTGAATAAACAAAAATCTCTATTTACAAAACTGACAACTGTTTAATCATCAATCTTAGCAGCATCATGTAAAGTATGTTAAGAGCTTGTCAAAAGCAAAAAATCATTTAGAGATGGAGAAATGATCAAGCGGTGTGTCGTTAAAATGGCGCGATCCTTTGGAGATGAAGAGATGGCCAAGAATTTTGAATATGTTTCAGTTTCCCATCAAACTGTATCTAGCAGAGTTCATTAGCTAAATACTCATGTATTTTAAAAAATGGTTTACACAGTTCGTGATTGTTTGTACTACTCCTTAGCCTTGGACGAATCTGTTGATATTACTGACAAAAATCAGCTATTAATTTGCTGGTTGAGTGCAGGTAAATGCCTTACATTTTCTTTATGAAAAGAGATCTTACTGTTTTTTGAAATGAAAATTGTTATTAACGTGGACATATTTATAATAAAGCTTAAGAACAAAATATTTCTTCATGAACTGGAATTGCTAACAGACATTACCTCTCACTTGAACACATTAAACCGAAAACTTTAGGGGGCAAATAGGACAGTATCACGCTGTTTGGTCAAATTGAGACATTTCGCAAAAAACTTGATCTTTTCGAGAACTGCATGAAAATAAACGACCTCACACATTCTCCTGCGTGTTTCGAAATAAATCAAAAAGAAACCATGGTCGATTTCTCGAGGTTTGCAAAAGTTCTTACAGAAATACAAAGGGAATTCGATGAAAGGTTTTTGGAGATTGATGCAGTAAAACCCGATCTTGAGCTTTTTAACAATCCAATGGGAGTCAGCATCCAGAACCAATCAGCAGAATACCAATTAGAGCTGTGCAAACTATAGTATTTTTCAATCAAAGAAAAATGAAGACATAAGTACCTTTTGGAAGTTAGTATCAAAGGATCGTTTTCCTAAAGTTGCTAACTTTGCGTTGAAACTATATTCAATGTTTAGTAGTACGTATATATGTGAAAGTATTGCTGCTTTGAAGCATATTAAATCTAAAACACGTAATCGCATGGAAAACAATTCTCTGGAAGCGTGTATTATTTTGCGTTAATTACGGAGACCATCGCATTGTATCCTCACCTAGAGCATATCACTAACAGTGAATCCTCGCATTTAAAATAATGCATTTATTTTACCTAAAATCGATAATAGGATACTATCCCATGGTCATAGCGAGGGTCGGCGCCTCATTATAAACGTAATCTAATACTCACTACGACTAGCATAGATATAGATGTGCAAAAGTTAGTAGAGGATAAACCTTGCCTCAAATATCCCATTGATTTTTTATTTTATGATAAATTTTAAACATAACGTGTAAATTGTAAGCAATAATAAAATACTTGTAAATATTATTTAGTTTGTATTTTTTTTTTAAATAAATTTTTTTTTGAACGAGTTGAGTTATCTGGCACTTCATAATAATTTCAAATTTAATATGGCCCTCAATATCTAAAAGGTTGAACCACACTGAGTTAAACAAACAATTCCGTTCTCAATATTTACACTGTATAATGAAATAATATTCATAGAATAGAATAGAATAGAATATTTTTTATTAATCCCATCAGATCACATTGCGAAATAGGACAAGTCATATAATACATAAAGCATGATCAACAAGTTATATAGGACAATTACATAAAACAAAATCAATAAAATATAGATTAATATATAAATAAAAAAAAGATATGGAATATAGAGCGTCTCTGAACCCGTCGGTCCTTATTCTCTGTAGTCTTTTATTTAGTTAAAATATTCATTCAGGTTGTAAACGCATAACTGAATCAAGCATGCTTTTAATTTATTTTTAAATTTTTGAATATTGTTTTCATTTCTTATATTAAGTGGCAAACAATTATAAAATTTAGATCCTGCAAAATCAGGACTAGTTTCAAAGAGAGTTGTGGAGTGTTTACACACGCTTATCAACCTCCCGTGTCTAGTCGGGTAATTATGAAAGTCATAGTTGAGGGTAAAATTTTGAAATTTAGTTTTGACGTGAATAATACACTTATAAATATATAAAGCAAGAAAAGTCAACAGCCTGTGTTCAATAAAATATTTACGACATGATTGTCTATTATTAATATTGAATATCAATCTAAGAATTCTCTTCTGAGTTATAAAAACTCTAGAAGAGTTTCTAGAGTTTCCTCATAAGATAACATTATAGGCCATATATGCATAAACCAATGCATAATACACACTTATCAATTAATAGAGTTTTCAACTGAAGGATCGCTTAGTAACTCTTATTTATTGTTTTGCAGACTTTAGTGGCATTTTCATCTCATGTCATATTACTTTCTAGAATGCTACCAAGAAATAATGTATCACTAAAAGGTATTTTCTCAGAACTAACTGTGATTTTATAACCATGGGATGGCTTAAAGCGCGAGTAGAACTGCATACAAATAGTTTTCTTTGCATTTACCATTAAAGAGTTTCTTTTACACCAGGTTGTAAATTCCTGTGCTACTAAGTTCATTTTTGATATGAGTTCGACTTCATTTGACTCGTCAACTACAATTGTTGAATCATCTGCATAAAGAACTGTATGGTCTGCAGTTAAAAAATGTGTCAAATCATTGAGATATAAAAGAAATATTAAGGGTCCCAATACGGAGCCTTGCGGTACACCTTGATCAAGATTAAAACTTTACTAGGAATTTACGATGTTGTAAGTATGACCTTAACCAGTTCAAGAAATACCCATGCTGACATTTATTTAAGATATCATATTTATTCAAAAAATTTAACATTTTACTATAAATACACTTTTCGATAATCTTAGAGAGTACACTTGTTACGATGATTGGCCTATAATTATCAACCAAACATATATCACCCTTTTTGAAAATTGGACTGACTACTCCCGTTTTAAGGTCACTTGGAAACTTGCCATCCTTGACAGATAGGTTGATGATGTGAGACAAAACAGGAGAAATATATGAAGAAATACATAACAACATACATACAAACAGTATTTAATTATTTTAGTGGGGATTTGATCAATACCTACTGAGCTGGTATAGTTTAAGGAAGATATAGCATTCTCAATATCAAATGGTGAGACTTCCGAAAAAAAGAATATGTTCATAATGCAGTTATTGACATTTTTAGTATATTATTATCTATAATTTTCAATTAAATCATTATGTATTCGTTACTAGATGTAATTTACTGAAGACGTTTAATTAAAATGTTCCGAATATCGATTTTGAATTTTTATGAGATTGAAGAAAATATTTATATGCAATACATGCATAAAGTGTCCTCTTTCACTCGCTTCCAGTCGTAAAAAAATTACCACTGTATGCACTGGTTGCATAAATTATTATTTTTTATTAGAACAAAATTACAGGATCTTCTGAACATTCCAGATTTATATCAAGTTCACTGATATTATAGTCACTTTTTTTATATTCATAGCTTATAGGAATATACTCACTTTTCCGCACTAGGTGGGGTCTTATTCTTTGGTAAAAATGGACTAGATTCTGCCTGTAAAAGATAATTATAAAAAGTACACTATAATTCTAATATTTTAAATAAAAAATATAAAAGTATTTAGATTTAACATCACTCTAGGTATAAAAGTATACTATCAATATACAAAATATTTTATAATAAACTAGCTGACCTGGCGAACTTGGGACTAAATAATGTATCAAAGTTCAATAACTAAAAATTAACAGACAAATAAAAAATACTCAAAAACTTTAATCAAAATAATGCTTTCTGATGAACAATATTTTTGATAGTTTTTTTGTGCGTGAATATATATATATATATATATATATATATATATATATATATATATACAATAGAATACATAAAAAATTAGATATAGGCATGAGTAATACACACAGGATGCACTGTTTGCAATAAGTGTTCTTCCGCAGAGATTCCTAGACATTAATCAGGAAGTAATTCCTGTTTTATTGATGTTACAAAGGCATTTGATAGAAAGCAGCATAATCGGGCTCAAAGAAATTCTGTTAAATCAAAGCTTAGTCAAAGAGAGTAGAGACATTGGAATTATATGTAACCTCTATTTTAATCTAAGACCGAAAGTGAAAGTTGAAACTGAACTGACTGAGTTTTATTTGAGAAAGATTTGTACTTTGAGGCATTATATAGTAAAAAGCAATTGTTGGAGGTTGTTTATAGGAGACAGTACCATAAGGTCACGAGCAAACAAGATCAAAATTGCCATGTTAATAGTCAACGTTCGCAACGGCCAGGGCACTTGAAGAAGAAGAAGAAGTACCATAAGGAATATGTTGTTGATAACTGTACTTGCAGTAATGGGCATACCGTGCTTAGACTTCCTCCTTACTATTGTACATTGAACCCAATAGAGTTAATATGGTCTCAAATTAAAGGAAATATAAGAAGAAGAAACATCTATTATATCTAAGTATACATCTATTATATTAGTACATCTATTATATTACTTACTGCTGCTTCAGATTCCTCCAACTTTGTTATTAGAAAACTGTCCATATCTATCTCCCACGTAAAATCTACTGGTAAAAAAGTTATGTTTTCCAAAACCACATACCGACATGTAGAGGAATCAATTGGTATGCAACCAAAATCAAGCTTCTCTGGCTCAAATTTTATTGTTGGAAAACATACTTCTTCTATTAATGAAAGAATTTCCTGTAAACAAATATTAAGTTATAAGTACAATCTTATATCGAAGAAACTCGCAACTAATAAGGCATAGCATGCAATTCAATATATAACACCGGAGTGATTCCCGCAGATTGGCTCAAATCCATTTTTGTCGCAATACCTAAAAAACACAATGCGAGAAAATGCTCAGAATATCGATTAATTACTCTAAGGAGTCACACTCTTAAAATTGTCCTCAGAATACTTCACAATAGAATTAGACGCAAATGCAAAGAAGATCTTGAAGATACCCAATTTGGTTTTAGAAATGCTCTTGGAACCAGGGAGGCACTTTTTGCGCTTAACATTCTATTACAAAAATGCCGTGACCAAAAAAGATGTATTTGCATGTTTCATGGACTTCGAAAAGGCATTCGATAAAGTACAGCATGTAAAATAATGCAAATACTGAAAAATATCGGAATGGATGACAAATATATTCGTGTCACTAAAAATTGGTACTGGAATCAAACTGCTATCGTAACAATTACAGATATCTACACCGATGAAATCCCCATACAACGAGGAGTCAGACAAGGTTGCATTTTGTCGCCAACATTGTTCCATGTTTACTCGGACCAGTTATATAAAAAAGCACTTGAGAGACAACCATATGGAATAAAAATCACCGGGGATTTAGTGATGTGATAAAATATGAAAACGATACAGTAATTCTATCAGATAATATTGAAGTTCTTCAAATTCTGCTTCATCGCATTCACGAGGTAGGAGAGGAAATAGGAATTAAAATAAACTCAAACAAAACCAAATTTTTAGTGTTTAGTCGTGACCCACATCCCGACGCAAAGCTTCAATTGAACGGAGTCCAAGTTGAGAAAGTTCACAAAATGACATATTTGGGAACTATGATAATGGACCAACTAGATCCAGACATAGAAATAAAACATATAATAGCAATGACTAAAACTACTTTTGTGAAAATGAACTGATTTCTTTGCAACAATCATCTCAGTTTAGAACTAAGGCAAAGAATGGTTAAGTGCTATGTTTGTTCCGTACTTTTGTACACTGCAGAAGTGTGGACGCTAAAAGTATCGATCATGAACAAAATTGAAGCATTGGAAATGTGGGTTCATAGACGAATGCTGGCAAAATAGAGGGCCGTCGAGGTGTAGGAAGAAAACAAGTTTCTTGGATAAAAAAAACATTCGTGAACGGACTCAGATACCAAATGCAGGACAATTATTCCATATTGCAGAAGATCGAGAAGCCTTCGCAATGGTGATCGCCAACGTCGGATAATTATGATATGGCAGGCGAAGAAGAATATGCAATATGCAATACCAGCAGTATTGCCATTTATTATCTACATTGGTTTGTGTTAAAACTTTCCCACCAAAACAATGTGATATTAAAGAGGACAATATAAATAGCTAGCGACACAAAGTGCATGTTCTAATTGATTGTATTGCACATTAAAAATATTGATTGCCCTTTTTTATACAAATTAATATAAAAATAATAAAAAAACACACAATCGGAAAAAAAATTAAAAGGGGATATGAAAAGGTTCCATTCTATCTTTATTGCTATTTAAAATCTATTTTAAGTCTAAAAACAAGGCTTTTTTCTCATTTACTCATTTTTTAATTTATTAAAAAATTATTGAATCAATATTTAAACAAGGATCCGGTCAAACTAAATTAATACGTTTATGAAAAAATCATTTTTTTTTTCATTTAAATTTGGTGATAATTTTAATATTCTTCGTAAAATTTTCAAGGTAAAAGAATAAACTTACGGGATGGGGGTAATCTTCGATGGTTATCGTTAATTTACCGCAATGCTTTCTATAAACCTTATCCTCTACAACGGGTCGAAAAGAGACAACAATATTTAGATTTTCCTCAATGTCCAAAGTATATTCTATGCATTTCATAGGTTCATCTTCGTCCATTATGAAAAATTCTGAGCTAGCGTGTATACGTAAATGAAGTGGGATTTCGGATTCATTTGTCACGGTTACTTCACCTGGAATTGGGTAATTGTTATTTGTAAATTATTATATACAGTGTAGGTAAAAGTTTATGGTCGATATAGTAAAATTTAACAGGATATTTAACACAGATATAAAATCTTATTTTCAGCGAATAGACAAAGATAACAATCATATTTCCCCTTGGTCCTCCCTCCATATTTCTCATTGACGCCCATTGCCCATTAGTGAGACAATTAGTTCCGATCAGAGATATTTTACATATCTCTGGTTCCGATCCTAATATACCTAAGAAACTAGAGGTGGGTCGTTGACATTTTTATCGAAACCATTTTTCGTAAACTGTAACTAGTTGATTGTTTACCAGTAGTTTCAAATAAGCGAGTACAGAAACAAACATATTGGCTATTATCGTTTATGTGCATAAGTATTGAAGTGAAAGAATCTAACGAAGAATATATTTAATATAACTTGAAAAATAAATTAAACAATATAAATAGTACTTACATTTACATTACACATTATTAAATCGCGAATCGTCTAAATTGTGATTTAAAAACATAAGTTTTTCCACTTTTCTTGTTAACTGTATTCTTCTATTATTTAAAATTAAACAAGATTTTGAACATGTGTTCACAAGGAACAGATTTTCTTACAATACTACAATATTTTATGAATATAGTGGTTAAGTTATTATATACATGGCGATGGTTTTTCCACCACTGTAATGGACAGTTCCAATCTCCGCTCGAAATTTTTTGTGGGTAATATATTATCAGAAAAATACATGTCGACTTCTTTTATATCTCTAGATACAGTTGTATGTTCAGATGAGTCATGTCCAATTAATTCATCAAAAATACACCATGGACATAAGTCATCTTTATCAGTTTCTTTTTCTTGTACTGGTTGATTTTCAATAGTACAATCTTCTTTTTCTTTTTTATAGAAGTAACCAGCTTCTTAACTCTTTCTTTTGTTTTTTATAACTAGGTATTCTGATTAATTAATGAGTTTTGATTTACGATTGATCTACATTTTCGATTTCAAATTTTTGAACGACTCCTTACTGTAAGATTGTAGTGTAGTGTATTATTTTTAGATTTGGTAGAGTTCTATCTCTTTTTTTATCGAAGAGTACGTTGGATATCGACACATGAGAAGATAAATATCTTTTTAAAATCTGAAACGTATGTCTCAGTCCAGAATAAGTTAAAAAAATTTTTGTCTTTCGTATTCTGGCAATCTTTCAGAGCATTTCATGGTAACTTCATTATGTCAATTGGAATTGTCTGTATCACTGCTTAGGTATAAATTGTCCTTAAGAACATTTTTTGTTATTGCCCCACTAGTCGTCTTTCTCTTTTACCTTTGTTTTTGCTGGTTTACCTATATGACTCACATCATTGTCGTCTGATTCTGTGCTTTCATTACTTAGAGGCTCATAGGTTTTATCAACATCCGTATTATCATCTCCAAACAAATGATCATCTTCGTCGAGATCCATTTGTCGAAAGAGTATACATTATTAAATATTTGATGTTAGCAAAATACTAAATCAACGTTATTAAACAATAGCTTACCTGTAGGTGTTGTTTAATTATAAATATTAAATGACACTAACTGTAGTATTTTTTCCCACGAGAGTTCGGATCCAGTTTGCAATTATTAAACAACGGATGTATTGTACAACTTTTAACAATCTAACGCTATTGCGAACTAAACAAAATTGTAACAATTATTTTAGTTCATGACAATTTCATCAGGTACCAGAGTACATAACACTATGTCCGGATGGTGAATAACAGTGTACACATTTAGTAGAGGTAAACAACACCAAATCCACATGGTGTTGTTTACCTCTGACTGGAAGTGGAATATATATATATTTAATATATATATATATATATATATATATATATATAATATATATATATATATATATATATATATATAGTTGACAAATTATATATAAATAAAACTAAATTAAGAAATACATAATAGGAAATAATAATTTTAGAATTAAAGCTACACTTACCGCTCATCACAGATTTGTGGTCTAGATTTGGTTTATCGATATTTAAGTCTCCTTCTTCGTTGTATGTTAAACAACATAGAGATTCCTTGGAAATATTAGGAATATGCATCTCTAAAAAGTTTAGATTTTTCGTAGTAAATTTCAAATTAGGTTCTACGAATTTTACTTGAAACAAAACTGTAAAAACAGTGTGTACCTAAAAATACAAAATATTGACATACGATAAAGAGATAAGAATGAATTAAAATGATGCGCCGTTACAAAAACCAAAAGCTAGAAATTGATTTCTTAGGTTATGCCTACATATATCCATTTTCATCTTGTTTTTTTTTTTCATTTGGTTTAAAATTTTCACTAAACTATCAGATAACATGAAGCAGTGGCGGTTGGTATATAAGTGCTGCGGAGCTGCAGAACCACCAAAATAATCCAAACAAAATTACTTTGAAAATTAAATAAAAAATATCACTACTTATAAAATCTAAATTCATTTAGATGGTTTTCGTGCATGGCCGCCTTTATTTTAATCTGTCGTCCGTCGCATCTCATGGCGACAGCAAGTCCCACTTATTTGACCGGACCGGTGCTACTCCGAACTGTGAACTGTTAAAGATATCCCCGATAACACCCGCTCAACCCCTCGCTTACACTTTTCAGGCGACGACTGAAAGCAATATTTGAGCTGCATTTGTCGCAGTTCGAACTAGTGTGTACAAACCTACGTTTATTGTAATTTTAAATAATCGGTGATCGCGACGCGACGACTGTTAAAATAAGTTGTCCTGCACGTAATTCGGTATTTATATTAAGTATATGAGAATAAAAGTGCTGTTCAGGATGGATGTTATTTATAATTTGATTAATGTTAAGAGATTCTTTAAATATTCTTATGACGAAAAACTAGAATTAAAATGCAAAGGACGTCCTTTGCCGGATATTAAAATCGAAAAAGAAGGATCAAGCCGAGGGAAAAATTACAAACGACAATTTAATTGCGATATTTATACGAGAAATAGTTGGATATGTGGCTGCAACAGAAAAAACGCTCTTTTCTGTTTTCCTTGTGTACTCTTTGGAGGTGATAAGTCATGGACGCAAGTTGGTGTAACAGACTTAGTACATTTAAGTGATAAAATAAAAAAACACGAAACTTCTAAGCATCATTTGCACAATCAAATGGAATATGCTTTATTAGGCTCCGTGAATATTAAAGAACAGTTAGATTCTGCATACTGGATAAATATTCAAAAATTCAATGAAGCTGTAACAAAAAATAGGTATGTTCTCTCAAAAATTATAGACTGCATAAAATTTTGTAGTGTTTTCGAATTGGCGCTTCGGGGACACGACGAGACACAAACATCCGACAATCCTGGAATTTTTCGCGGCCTCATAAATTTTACTGCTGAATTGGATAGAACTTTAGCACAACACTTGGAAGAATCGACGGTTTTTAAGGGCATTTCTAAAGAAATTCAAAATGATATTTTGGACTGCATGTTGGAATTATGCCAGGATAAAATTTTGGAGGAAATTCGGGAATCTCCATATCTAGCTGTCATGGCCGACGAGACTACAGACATTTCAGCAAAATCACAAATGGTTGTAGTATTTAGATATTGTCGAAATGGAGCACCGGTAGAACGATTTTGGACATATTTGGTACCTTCAAAATTAAATGCAGATACTTTAAGCAAAAACATTTTCAGTGTTTTGGATCCTATCCTGGAAAACTCAAATAATAAACTAATTGCTCAGAGTTATGATGGGGCAGCGGTCATGTGTGGACAGCACGCAGGAGTTCAAGCCAGAATCAAAGAAAAATATCCATTTGCTCATTTTGTACACTGTTACGCGCATCAATTAAATTTAATAATGTCTAAGGCTTGTTCCGAAAACTCTCAAGTTAGACTTTTTTTTGGAAATTTAAATGAAATCCCTACCTTTTTTAAAAATTCGCCACAACGAGTGGCAGTTTTAGATAAAATCGTCCAAAAGAAAATTCCTCATGGCGCTCCAACTCGCTGGAACTTCAATATTCGAACTGTTAATGTTGTGTTTGAACATCGATCTTCTTTTATCGAATGTATGGAAGAAATAGAAGAATCGTTTGATAAGGCAGCTGTCTGTAGTTCAGCGTCTTCTATTCGAAGAATACTAGTGGATCAAAATTTTGTTTTTTGGTTAATATTTTTCCATCGCATAATGCCACAAGTAGACGTTTTGTATAATGCCCTTCAAAAGACTAAAACGGATCCTTTGGAAATCAATAAAAAGGTGACAGATTTCGAAAGATACATAAATTCAGTTAGAAATTCAATAGATGATACCATTGACCAAGGTTCTAGTTTATGCGTTGAACCATTACCAACTAAAAGGTTACGGAAGGATAACAGTCCAGTAGATCATCGGAGAGCATCTATCGAAGTTTGTGATATAATCATAAATTGTGCAAATGATAGATTTGCTTTTAAAAATCACCTACTTGCAACTTCATTGCTTTATCCTGAGCAATTTGATAATTATTGTGATAATTTCCCAGATGATAATTTAAGCCTGACTTGCGCGTCATATCCAAATTTAGATAGGGAGCGCTTGAAAACTGAATTATCTGTTATTTATTTTAGAAGAGACTGTAGAGACATTAATGGGGCAATACACTTTCTTAAAATTTTTAATTGAAAATAATTTAACAGAGCATTTTCAAGAAACTGTAAAACTGCTTTAAATTCCAATTACAGTGCCCATGAGTACGGCAGAAGCTGAAAGGTGCTTTTCGAGTTTAAAACGGATTAAAACATTCTTGAGAAATTCCATGACTGCAGACCGACTTGTAGCATTAACCATGTTGTCAGTAGAAAAAACACTTATAAAAGAAATACCAAACTTTAATGAAAAAGTTATAGACAAGTTTGCTTTAAAAAAAAATCGACGAATCGAGCTTATTTATAAAAAAAATAATATATTTGGCTCTGTGTGTAGTTAGTTCGTAAGACCCTATAATGCAACTATTGTTGTGGCGATTTTGTTTCTAGCGTTTTTTCGTTTGCATTCCTTAGTTTCGCGTATTTATCGATAAAATTCTAATAAAAACATAAACTATAAAACAATTACTAGTGTGCCATAATGTACCATTGCTATTTTTGATATAATTGGATTTATCTTCAATTTGAAAAGAAGAAAATCGGTAAGTTCTTTATTATTTTTTAATAGATATATAATGAAAAAATATATGGTGTAAAATATCAAACTAAAAGCCTCGTTGTAAAATACAACGATTAAAAGATATTGAATTAAAAAAAACCAAAAAATACTGCAGAACTACCAAATTTTTGAGTTACCAGCCGCCACTGACATGAAGGCAGTTCTGCAAAGCGATTATCAATTTAGTACTTTAAAAAGTTCAAAGCACCAGTTTAACAGCACTGGACTGCTTAGAAAGTCAAACAGGAGTTAACAGATACTGAATAGGAAGGCACGGAAGATACTTTTTATGCGGCAACTTTTGTGGTGCGATATTTATTGACTCTTGAGCAAAGCGTATCTGAAATTCAGTTATATGTTATACATGTCAATAAAACATAAAATTAAATGAGCTATAAATAGCTAAATTTAAGTACTAGTTGTCAAATATAGCTTGACACTTGGTCTTTTTGATAATAGGCTCCACCTCTGATCTGCGATGGACAGCAGCAAAATTCATCATTATTTTGTAATAGCTGAAAACTGGCACGATTTGCAACAAAAAATATTGTTTTTCTTTTATCTGTATTTTAAAAGGTATTATTGTGATTGATTTGAGTTTATTAAATTATTAACTAGATTTTTTAATTAAGATTAAAGAGCAAGATGTGTTTTTCAAACGAGAGACGAAATTGAAGTGGCACAAAATCAGCCCGTTGAAAGTTATTAAGAGTACAAAGCATACTGCCTTAGCACTTGAAGTAAGTTTAAGTACTATTAAACGGATCTCTTGTAAAATGAAAATTATAGAAGAAGGTTCTTCCAGATCATTTTTGACGTCTAATAACAAAAGAGTCAAAGGTGCCCCAAAAATCCAACTTGGACGATTTTCACAGAGGCTTACACCGTCGCGTCGTACAATGATCAATCTTTATGTCACGGAAAAACAGGTTCCTAATCCTAGTAATAACATAATATACAGAGTTACAAGAAACTTTGAGAAACATGAAGAAAAGCGAAGTATAAAAAATTCAAATGGAAAACCTATATTAACATGTATTAATAATTATGAATTATTAAGTTTTTTAACAAGATATTTTTAACCAATATATAAAACAGCTGCTGTTATGCAACAAACTGGTAAATCAATATTCATAAATCGCTATTTAAACGCGTGTTTTAATCAGATAGTTGCCCAGAATTTCCTTTAAAATACTTTATTTTTTAAAGGTTGACGAAGGTAGTTAAAATGGTACATTTTGGCCTTAAAATATGAATAATTAAAAAAAACAACGAGTCGTCTGCGGTATAAATAGAGGTTTAAGTTATTTAGCTTCATATCATCATCATTGGCTCCACAACCCATGGTGGGTCTTGGCCTGCTCAAAGATAAGTGTCCATTCTCTCCTATTCTTCGCCTTGGCTTTCCAGTTTCGTACTCCCAACATTCTCAAATCTTCCTCCACCTGATCTTTAAATCGTGCTCTGGGTCTGCCTCTCCTTCTCACTTCATCTATTCTTTGGTTATAAATATGTTTTGGTATTCATTCTCTCTATGTGACCTAACCACCACAGTCGGCTTATTTTGATAGACTTAATAATATCAAGTTTGTCATACAGGTGGTAAAGTTCGGAATTATAGCATCTGTGCCATAATCCGCCCTCCTGTATTCCTCCATAGATATGCCGGAGGATTTTACGTTCAAAGCATCTTAAACGTTCTTCATCGCTCTTTGTCATCGTCCATGTTTCCAACGCGTAGGTGAGGATGGGCTTGATAAGAGTTCTATAAATCGCTAGTTTCGTTCTTTTTGTAACTAGGCTTGTTAAAAATTTTCTTAATACATAATAAGCTTTATTTGCCAGATATATTCGTCTGTTAGTTTCTGCACTTACTGCATTATTTTGACTAATTTGTAACCTAGGTATATAAAATCTCTTATTTCTTCGAAAGTATATGTTCCGATCGTTAGATCTTCGGATTGTGTTGCTTTCATATACTTTGTCTTTCTAGTGTTAACCTCTAGTCCTATTCTTTTTGTTGCTGCTTCAAGCACCTTGAATGATTCGACCACGTCCGTCTTTCTTCTTGCAATAATGTCGATATCATCGGCGTACGCTAGTAATTGTACGCTGCGATTAATAATAGTTCCTCTGGTTGTTACTCCAGATTCTCTTATCGCTTTCTCTAGTGCAATATTAAATAGAAGGCATGAAAGGCTGTCTCCTTATTTAGGTCCTATCTGAGACTGGAACGTTCTGGAAACTCCGTTCTGCACTCTAACTTTACACTCGACTCTTGAGAGGGTCGCTTTCACCAAGTGTACTGGGATGCTGAATTATATCATGGCCTTGTACAGTGCGTTTCTTTCAACACTATTATAGGCACATCTAAAATCAACAAACAGGTAATGAGTATCAATGCCATACTCATATGATTTTCCAGAGCTTGCCTTAGAAGGAATATTTGATCGGTCGTTGATTTTTCTTTACGAAACCCACGCTGATATTTCCTATTATGTCTTCACAATATCCCGATAGTCGGTCGTAAAGAATATATGCCAATATTTTGAATGTTACGTTTAGGAGGGTTATTTCTCTGTAGTTGCCACATATTGTTTGATCTCCTTTCTTGTGGATAGGTACAATTATACCTACATTCCAGTCTTCTGACAACTTTATTTGCTTCCAGATCAGTTCTACCAGTCTACATGTACAGTATGTCAGGTTTACTTGCCATGCTTTAGTTCTATTTAGCTTTATAAAACTCAAAAAAATTGTCATATACTTGATCAGGTTAAAGTCCCGGGAATAATTTGTTTCTCTGGACTATGGTGAATATCTGGTGTTCGAATGAAAAACTTTCAGTGAATACTATTTATTGTGATATTTTTCTATTAATTTATATGATGAAACTAACAATTTAACTTCACACTATGAATGAAACAGCACTATCGTTATATCTGAAAGACATGAATAATCTCAAAAGTTATTCTGGATAGAAAACTTACGTAAACTGCACACCTCGCAAATATCGACATTACGGCAACAAGAAATGTATAAATATGCTTAGTTACAAAAACGTGGGATCTTAAACCTAAAATGATCTATTGATCATATTTAACGGTTGTCAGATCCATAATTACTTATTCTGTGCTAGTTTTGTGGAAAAAAACAACGCAGTAACAGAAACGATCGAGTTTTAAAAATAAATAACAAAGACTTTTGTAGGAATCACGGATACAATTATATAACCCATTCCATATTTCGACATACCCTATTTTCTATCTACAAGTATGTGTTAGGAGGATCGCTCCATAAAATGTTAAGCTAACATAGGCTCAGTATCTAACGATTTGATCGGATATCTTGAGATTTAAGGGATGTGAGTTATGACAATGCTATCCATGAAGATACCTACCCATAGACCAAGAACAAGATTCTAACTAAATATTTCAAAAGCGCTGCTAGCAATAGGGAGCTCGAGAGTGCTTAAAAAAATATTTTTTTCTTCTTCCTCTTTATAAGCAATTCTGCTTGTTTATTGGCGGATTACTTACTACCTCTATGGAAGGTTGTCATTCCATGTTGTGCGTGGTCGTCCGATACTTCTTCTGCCGATTGGTGACTTATCCCTTGCTATCTTGACGACACGTGTCTCCTCCATTCTGCCTATGTTGTTATTTCATTCTTTTTTTCTATTTTGTGTCCATTTATTTATACACTGTACGTTACATTTACTTCTAATGTCTTCGCTTCTCTTTCGATCTCTCAGCATATTTTCTGTAATTTTTCTTTGTACTCTTATTTCTGACGTTTCTAGTAGCATTTGCGTTGTGGCTGTGTCGGGTTCTATTTCTGTATATCATTGAGGCATATGTCATTATTGGTCTTACACTGGCTTTATAAATTCTTGACTTCATCCCAGTGTCAATGTGTCTGTTTCGTCATATAGTGTTAATAAGGCATCCTGGCAGTCTATTTGCTTTTTGTACTGGATCTCTCACTTCTTTGTCCAGATCTCCATAGCTAGACAGTGTAATTCTCAGATACTTTATTTCCATAACTTGTTCAATACTGATACCATCAATTTCTATTTTACATCTGGTTGGTTCTTTGCTGATTTCTATTGTTTTAGTTTTCTGAGATAAGCTTGTCATATTAAATTTTTTTGCCCTTATGTTAGATTTGGGAACTAGTCTTTGCAAACTATCTTCATCTTGGACTATCAATATTACGTCGTCTGCGTAACAGAGTATTTTGATTTCTTTGTCAATTTCTGTGTGTCCCATTCTGTATCCTCTTCGTTTATTTTTGGTTTGATGATTTTATTCATGAAAAAATTATTTTATTCGGCTAAAACATTTATTGTCTGATAGCCACAACACAGAATAATAAACAATCAGAATGTCCACTCTCAAATGCCGCCTTTTTGAAGTTTGTCAGCACGCGAACGCCATGTTTTAGAAGGAAACATAGACTCAAATAGAGAAATGTGTGACAAGCAAAGAGAGAACTGTAATTTAAATTCTTACAACAACTTTTGAGTATGTAAAAGTTTAGCCAATCACAATAAACTTAAAAGATTATTGCATCCTCCTTGTCGCTACGAAAAATGTTATAGCTGCAAAAAATGATTCACCCATATGATATCTAAGTAAACAGTGCTCACTCAGATATCATCTCTGTATAATAGACAAAAATATTAGGTAAACTTTTACTCAAAATGGATTTATTTCCAAAGAAAATGTGGTCATAGTAGACACCACATTAATTTTTTGTTTTTCTTTAGGTACTTTCTGTTTATACAGCAATATTAATTACAAGAGGAATTAGCACGAAAACTCGTAGCAAATACCTTTGAGCACAAGGATATAGATGAACTAGCTGAGAAAATAACCAAATGTATCAGGACATAAAGACATACAAATAGTCACTAAGAAACTTTGTTGCAGAATAAGAAAACAAAAAGAAGCTAAACTAAAACCCGAGACTCTAGAACAGATAGAAAAAAGAAGCACGGACAGAGATAACCCGGACTATAAAGCGCTCAACAGAAGCGTTAAGAAAAATATTCGAAAAGACCTCAGAGCTTATAGAACAAAATAGATTCTTGAAACCATAGAGAACAATAAGAACATGAAAGTACTAAAAACATGTAAATCCACTGGCAGGAATAAAATCATAAAGATAAAAGACGACCGTGGAAAATTGTGCTCGCATAAGGAAGAGATGTTAGAGAAATCCGAAAATTTTATGAGAAGCTGTATACTTCTACTATTCCGAACCCCGGTATACCAACAAAACATATCTTAAATGTCGGCTCAGAGGATTTCCCAGAAATAATATCAGAAATTAAAGACGCCCTAAAACAAATGAAAAATGGGAAAACACCAGGAGAAGATAAAATTACTTCAAAGATGTAATACTTCATTCTACTCCATAAAAAAGAGGACGCCGCAAATATAGAAAACTACCGACCAATAAGCTTTATAAGCTACTAACCCGAATAATAACAAATAGATTGACAGCTGAACTAGATCCCTTTCGTAAGGGGTAAGCACTATCGATCACTTGCAAAAAAATCCGGACAGTTATTAAAAAAACAATAGAGTACAATATACCACCACATCTGGCATTTGTCGATTATCACAAAGCATTCGACAGTTGATATACTACCAGTTGCAACTTATGGTTTGGAAACTATGGCAATAACAAGAAAAATGGCACAACAATTAAGAGTAACTCAACGGGCCATGGAGAGGGCCATGTTAAATATAAGCCTCAGAGACAAAAATTTTAACACCGAAATACGTCGAAGAACTAAAGTAACCGACATCATGGGAAAAATAGCGACATTGAGGTGGCAATGGGTAGCACATGTAGCAAGACAAGACACCAACAGATGGTTTCATAAAGTGACATTCTGGAGACCTCGAGAAACAAAAAAAAGCGTGGGAAGACCTAAAAAGAGATAAATAGACGATATAACTGCTGTAGCTGGAAAGGAGTGGATGAGAATTGCAAAAGATAGGGAAGCGTGGAAGCAATTGGAGGAGGCCTATGTCCAACAATGGATAAATGAAGGCTGAAGAAGAAGAAGAAGAAGAAGAAGAAGAAGAAGAAAAAGAAGAAGAAGAATTACAAAATAAAAACGTTTTTTCAATATCTACATATTAATGGTCAATATTGGCCAGTAACCGATTATATGTTGCATTGGTAATATAAAACTCTAACAAAAGATTGCAAAATGTATGTGTGGTTCCATTTAAAGATAAGCATATTATCCGTATACCTAAAAAAGTTTAATTTTGGCAACGTCCAAAATGTTTATTGCAAAGTTTAAATCGCTGGTCTATCTAATATACATAACCAACATTTTGTTACTATATCATACAGGGTGTGACAGATATCTTTATGTTTCCATACTTTACGCACGCACTGTATATTTTAGTTACCAATATACATACATACCAATGTATTTGATATATTGAAAATTATACTATAGTATTTTCTATAATTATTTCTAAATTTTAGTGCAGAAAGTACTATTCCTATTACTTGCTGACAACAGTACCATTATGACAAATAATATGAAGAGTACTTAAGAAGTGTCACTCTCAATATTAAGAGAAAATATTATTTTTAAAAACGTTTCTTTTATAATTTGTGTTACAGTGTATGTTAAAAGAATATTCTAAGAAAGATAAGGTCTTTCTTAAAATATCAGATACAGAGTTATTTTATCTTCCTGTATATGCTTATATGTATATTGGACGATGATATTCATCTGAATAATATTTTAAGTTATCTATTATTATTGAAGAAAAAACATTTGATCCCGAAAATATTGAATTTTGAGATGCAACATCTAAAAACATTGTTGGATATAATATAGAATATGGCTTTACAAATATACTTACTCTGACCGTCTTGTCAAGCTGTGCATAACAATAGAATACCTCTTCTACTACTGTCGGTTTTTTTGATAAACAGGAGATTTCTATAAAATTGGATTGATTGTATGCTAGTTCTAAATAGTTCGGCTTGATTTCAAACACAGATTTTTTATCGCTAAAAATATAATGCCTCAATATAATATAGGAGAGACCAGGGAATTCCATGCATGGGGCAATTCTGCGCATCAGTTTTTGGCAACACGGCATGAGTGTTTCAACATTCAACACAGCGCACAATCCCGACCACATATGACTGCATTCGTAGTATTGGTTAAGAAAAAGTGGTATTTTCGTTAAAATAAAAGGTTTCTTATGGTAAACCTATTTTGTTTTTGTATAGATAATTTCACGTATAAAAACAATGCATTGTATTTAGTCATTAAAGAACAGTGATAACTTAGGTTACTCACCCGACCAACCTGTGTCGGGGTAACTTCGCGCTGCTCGGTATTACCCCAAGTAAAATTTTTTTTCTATGGTGTTTGTATCGCTTTTTAGATTCCAAAATACCTCATGCTTATGTTCGGAAAACCAAAAGATGAAAATGGGCATAAGATAAACTAAAAGATGCTATCATTGCTATCTGGGCAAAAAATACGAGAAGAAAAATTGGGGACTATGTTTTTTTAGAATCACACCAGCAGAACTAAAGTGTTTAGAATATCAGTGTGCTAAAGTGAATAAAATAAAACACCGTTTTGACTCTATAAAGAAAATTCGCTGGTGAAGATTGGTTAGAACTCTTTTGAAAGTGAAGCTACCAGTCAAAACCGCAGTTCTGCATTCAATAAAAATAAGGTTAAATGATTTTTAACAAACTGTTCACAGTTATGGAAAAGTTAAAAGTTAAGAGACTAAGATGCTATGAGTCAAATTTTAATGTAAATGAAACAGGCATTTCCACGATTCAGAAATTATCAAAAATGTTGGCACCAAATGGTCAAGCATAAGTAGTGTAACGAGTCCGTTACTTAAATACCCATTTACTGCTTTGTCACTGGAATTCTTTAATTTAATTACAAATTAAATTCATTTGGAAATATTCTTAAACCAAACATTTGAATAACTCCGGTAAATTTTATTTTTAAAAGTTGGCAATAAATCACGCCCTCTGTCTACGGCTGATCGTCGTAACAGCTTTAGCGCCATCAGACCGGCACTTGCTTGGAATTCCGTGAATTGAACAGACGTATTCAGGCGACTGAGAGTCCCTCGTTTAAGAGTTTGGTTTAAGTTTTATTTTATTTCGAAGAAACTATTATTTTGTGGAAGAAAACCCAGTTGGTTATTTTATTTTGTTTTGGTGAAAATACATTAAGTTGGGATCACTCTCAGTCGGTGAGTTAAATTACAAATAAATTATATGTAAAAACACGTCATATCATCCGCCATTGTTGGTGAAATTTAAATCTATTTATAATCCTCTCTCAAAATATAGTCTGATCCACCTATCTATCTATCTGCTATCTTCTATGTACTATTTCATTCATTTCATAAATACCTAACCAGATTACAAGTAATAAATTTTTATAATAACATCAAATTTTATTTCTTTACGAGGATGAAAGCCAACAATTATCTATTTCAATTCCATACCGTTTAAACCGGCTAATATTTCCTTGTTTTTTTTGTCCCATTCTATGATCTATATAGCTTCTGTAAAAATCACCTATTTAATATGTCCGTTAAAACATTGTCAAATCTAAATTCCAAGGTTATTTTTTTTAGAAACCATAGTTTTTGCGTCAATTTAAAAGCAACTTTGACCTTTCTTGGTTCTTTTTTTTACTTTCTTGTACAAACAAAGGATGTGTAGTAACACAACTGTGTTTTTTAGCCTACGTCCGGAATCCAGTGCAGGTCTGGGGGGAAGGAAAAACTTTTTATTTAATTTTTGGGAATTGGAAGATAAGCAGTCATTTTTATTTAATTGGATTAAGAAGAATTGTAAGGACTTAATTTAAAAGTACCTTTTTTTATATGGTGTCCAGGTTTGGCGTATCACCCACCTGCGACTAGTTCTTCCAGAGGATCTCGAGGGAAACCTGCAGAAACTAACAGGAAGAACTAATTTTTTTTTGTCGATTTAAATATTTGTAGCAATTTTTTTAACGTCCTCTTCAAGGTTTAACTTTTGTTTCATTTTCAATTTTTTTTTTCAAAATATATACTTAATAATAATTACATTCATTTTTATAAAATAATAGTCATTGTAAATTTAGTAAAACATTTATTGTCCACCAAGGGTTGAGATTGTAACTCCCCTGGACTCTCTCGTTATCAGGTTATAGTGTGCACACATATCCGGAGAGGTTTATTTCATTTATTTGATCATTGTAACGTTTATATTATTATATATTTCATTTTATATTATATACTTAACTATTGCATAACCTTAGTCAAAATTTCACATTATCAGGTACATTAGGGGGGAAATTGTTTTATCATTATATTCAGGGTTTTCATTGTAAATATAGATTAGTTAATTGTATATAAGAGGTGTTGGGTTATATTGTTATATATAGGGGTTTAAAATAATTTGTACATAATATAGGTATTGATTAAAGTTGGGTTAAAACAATTTAAGATTTCACTTGGTACCTATCCTTTAATATTTCAGCAATACAAGATATCTCGGAAGAAACCATTTAACTTCCTGGCGCCCAAACATTCAGTAGAGCAACTTTATCTTTCATCTGTTTATTTCTTGGTAGATTTCTTGTCATTAGTTCTTCTATCTTACGGTCACTGTAGGGCATGCAAATTGGCCTAATCCCTCTTGAGTGTCAAGGGGTCATTCTCCTGCATAGTCGCTAGCCAGCATTAATTTTATTATATTTTAAAATTCATATTTACCCTTTATTTATTTCTTTTATATAATTTATTTCTATCTAATCCCTTCCATCGTCTGTTATTCCAGATATTAATCCGTTGGTGTATCAAGGTACATTTTAGAGTTTACCCTATTGCTACACTGTAGATTTTTGTTACATTTCCCTATTTTCACCCTTCTTATTACATTGTTTCACTAGAAACAATTTATTCTTGTTATATTGGCAATCCAGCTAATCCATTTTTGTTACAGTAGGATCCGTAATATCTTGGGAAAGAGGGAAAAATGTTACAATGATAAGCATTGTAAATGCTTTGGGGGCAGTTTATCCCTTCTATGTCCATACTCCCTGAAAGGCGTATGAATCCACAATTATTGAGAGGAGGCCCAGTTGGAGCATTATAAAGATGTTCGAAAAACGGTTGGATAAATAAAGAGTTATTTTTGGACTGGATAAAACATTTTTGTCAGCACATAAAGGCCTCGAAAGAAAATCCAGTGATTCTCATATTGGATAACCATAGGGATCACATTTCTTTGGAGATTTCTACTTACTGTAGATCACACTAAATTGTTATGGTTTCAATTTACACTCATACTTCACACAGGCTTTAACCCCTTGACCTAACTTTTTTCGGACCCCTAAAGAATGTATAACCATGAGTGCGATTTGTATCTCAGAACTGATATACATAAACAGATCGCACATTTTTAACAGATCATATCTGAGAGTTGGCACGATGGTGAGAGGAATATCCGGGTGCGTGCTGCTGAAATATGGCCAATAAATCCTATTAAATTCTCTGAGGATGATTTCAATTTACTAATCACACTGAAGTTTTAGATATACACATTGTAATAAACTTAAATAAAACCGATGATATCAACAATGGTAATGCTCTTAACTAGAGCAGTTAAATGTAAATTTTGAATTCAATCACAGAACAACACCCAAAAAAAATAGTCGAGATGTGATGAAGCTGTGCAGAGAAATCCACTTTGACATAGCAAACCCTAACCGGGACCATCGAGATGAAATGAAACCATGCACAAGACTGTACATAATAAAAAATCAAACCGACGAGCTTAACCTCAGCCTGGAACGTCAAGAAGTGTTGTCTAGTGTACCTTTTGTGAAGAGCTCTTCTCTCTGCCAAAATTGCAAAGAAAAGTTCCAAATCACGTGCAAAACAAGACTAAAAAATTTTCTCGTCACTAAAAGCTCAATAAGAAATAAAATAAGTAAAGAGAAATCCTAAGAAAAATCTGAATAGGTCAAAAAAACTAAAACCAAGAGAAAAATGGCAGGAACTATATAAAAACTAGCTACAAAATTAAAAAACAACCCATAAGCAAGAAGTCTGTTGTCTTTATTTTCTAATAAATGGCTTTGGCAGAGTCAATTAGCCAGACTAGTTTTTGATTGTCTTAAAGTCGACTAAATTTTAAATATTATTGATTGCAGATTCATAGTTAGAAACTTAGATTTTGATAGTTCTGAGTCTGAACTTATGACGACAGTAAGCTTTGTACTGATGTTAAACTAGATGATGTAAATCTAACATTAGAAAATAAAGGAGCGTTTGATGTGCAGTGAATTCGGACTAGACAAAGAAATTTGATACCGTTGTGTACCGTTGGTACCGTTGAAAGAGAGTCAGTAAATAAAATTATCTCCTTTATGTATTTTTTTTTAATTTTGTCTTTAAGGAATTTGTTTTTTTTACAATATTTGCTTCATTAATTTTTTTTCGAATTCAGCTATTTAATTTCTGCGCAGAATTACCCCCTACTTGAGGAAATACCGCGCAATGACAGTTTTTAAAGTATTTTTTTTTCTTTTCTTTAACATTCGTAAAACTTTATACCTCTTTTTTGTGAGACTAACGTTCTTAATAGATATAAGTTTAAGTAGTTAAATTATGGAAGTTTGTGTGCACACAGAAAACTTTTTGTAAGTATTTTCCCTTAGGTGCTCAGAATTCCCCCAGTCTTCTCTAACGCAGCAAGTGTACCGTATATTTGATGACTACATATGTGGCTGGCTGTATATTATCAGTGAAACCTTAAATAATTCCAACGTCTTACAGATAATGTATAGCCTAACTTTTTTAATCAGATCGAACTAAACGACTTAGTTAATGATCTTTGCTTAACGAAATAAAATCTGAATTATTTTTCTCTAAGTTAAAAGAAAAGAACTTGTTTGCTATTAGAACCAGAATGTATATGAATAGGAAGAGAGATCAGTATTTTTCCAAGTTTTTTTTAAAAGGAGATGA